CTTTTTTTGTTTTTCTGTTTCATTTCATTTTCCGGTTTCTTTTTCTTTGTTTCTTTTTTTATTTCTTTGTTTCCGTTTTTTGTTTCTTTTTCAGGTCCATATTATCTTGTTTGCGTTTTTTTTTTCAAAATCACAAATTTCAAACATGTTTAACATCTTCCAAAATTGTTCAGTATTTTTAACATTTTTTCAAAAATTAAAATGTTACATGCTTCCAAAAATTGTTCATGTTTTTAAAAAAGTTCAGAATTTTGAAATTTATTCATGTTTTTCAAAAAGTTTGACGTTCCAAATTCTTTTTAATGTTTTCCCAATATTGTTTGTGATTTAAAAATTTGTTCATGTTTTAAAAAAACTTCAGAGTTTCAAAATAAAAACCAAGTTTACAACAAAAAATTAGTTAATATTTTGTTATCATTTTTCAAAATTTGTTCGCATGTGTAAAAAATGTTCGTAATTCCAAAATTTGTTTGTGATTTCAAAATTTGTTCGCGTTTTCAAAAGTTTAGAGTTTCAAAAAATATTCATGTTTACAAAATTATTCGTCAATTTTTTGTTCTGATTTTTCAAAATTTGTTCGCATGTTCAGAAATGTTTGTAATTCCAAAATTTGTTCACGTTGAACAAAATTGTTCGCATTTTCCAAAGTACTCATAATTACGAAATTTGTTCACATTTTCAAGAAAGGTCAAAGTATTAAAGAAATATCACGTTTCTCGAAAATTGTTCGCAAGTTTTAAATTTGTTCGTGTTTTCTTGAAAGTTCAGAGTCTCAAATTTTGTTCTCATTTGTTAAAATTTCAAAATGTGTTCCAAAATTTTGAGGTTTTTTCATGTTTTCTAAATTTTGCTCACAATGTTGAAAAATGTTCGTGTTTCAAAATGTATTCAGTTTTTTCAAAAATAAAAAGCGGGTTTGAAATTTTAAAAATCTTTCAAATCTATGGCTATTCCTAGTTCTTAAAGCACCACGCTACCCAGTAGTCACGAATGCTTGGTTCGTGCATTGGTGTGCTGGTGCGTCTGATAGCATAAGGTTCTGTGTTCGACTCCCAGCTACAGCACTCATTATTGGAATTTTCAATACCCCTGTCCTGCTGTTGGGCCAGCCCAGGTGGCCATCTGTGTGTGCGTCCAGCTGCTATTTGCCGCAAAATGCGGCAGATAGGAGCTCCCTTCGATTTCGCTCAGGCGGAAGAGTGCCGCATAAGAGTGTAGGCGCTCGTAGTGTTCAATGCGCCTCGCTTGATTCTTTGGTAGCACATGTGTGGGCAGTGGATGTGTACCGAGGAAGGACACACCGGCCAATGGCATGGGCTACTCCTTCCTTTTCGGTTTATAGGGTTTATCTCATTTTTTTTGTTTTTCCAATTTAAAGGGCCCATCTCCATCTCCTATTGAGATTTCAATGCGCATCAAATGTTTGCATGCAATATTTAAAAAGGAACTCATCAATGCATGTAACTTTTCTACTCATCTAGTGGCCAAGCATGCATGCACTGCAATTAATCTAAATTAATGCATCATTTCAATTTGGATAGTTTTGTAAAGTACAAGATACATTCCTCCATTCACCAAGTGCCTTGATTGATGACATTTCAGATTTGAGCCTTATAAAACGGAAAGGAGGGGGTAGCAATCTAAACTAACTATAAATAGTTGAGTGACCATAAATCGTATTTTCAAAGTTTTAGCATCAAATTGAACATCGAGAGTAGTTCTATGACTCCTGTTGATATTACCTCGGGATTAATTGCATCTGTATTGAACATACTATCGTTTTAACCAATAACTATTTTTTTTGCTTAGAGCATCTCCAATAAAAATTATAGATGCAAAAATACCTAAGTTTTGCATCTCCGAGGCTCCAAAACCCCTCTGATGTAGATGCAAAAAAAAAAGTCATCTCCGCATTCTGGAGATGTAAAATACAATACTTCACAGTGCAAATTTGCATCTCGGCCGGCTGGAGATGCGAAAAGGGCAGCCGCACGCCAACTGCCAACCGTCGCCGCCCCACGATTCGGCTACCATCCGGCGCTCGATTCGACTACGCAGCCGTCTCTGCTGTCGCCGCAGCCTTCGCCGAAATTTTTACATCTCCTGTTTTCACATCTCTAAATTTGCATCTTCTATTGAAGATGCTCTTACAATCAAGCCATGATATTTATGAAATGTTTTTTAGCAACCTGAGGCAATCTTAATTATGCAGGAGGTGATTATTTATAATTGACAACGTAGTACTAGTGTGGTAAGGCGGCCACCACCTCCCTCATGGCGGGGGTCGACATGCTCACCTACTTGGTACGTGCCCATCTTGGTCCTGCGTTTGCCCTTTCTTCCTGCTCGCTTCAAGATCCATTCAAGTGATCAAGTGATAGCATAGCTTCTTTCTTCATTGACCAGGCGAGATTTCTCATTTCATATTATCATCTTGGAGAGTTTTTTTAGTGAAATTGAAAATTGGATATTTGGTTAATTCTTTAAGCAAATTTCATGCATTACCTCACCGCCAGTTATTTTTTCTGGTTCCGTCGATGACTAATTGTCGACGCTCGACAGGTAGTTAATCTCCAGTCGCTGGCAGATCACTCCTGTGGTAGTTAACCTTTATCCTCTTCTCCATTTTCGTGGAAGATTTATTTTTCTCGGTTCCTTTTTAACGGTGGCTGCAATTATTACGGTCCGCTATACTCGTTGACATGTTGGGCTCAGGAAAAGCAACGCCGAGGCTGCTTCAGCTGTATACTCCGTTCATCGTGGTTGCTGTAATTGCAGTTTTGCGTGGTCTCTGCTCATGCTCAGCCCCGTTAACTGCTACAACATCGGTTGCATCTTCAGCTCAGAAGAAGAAAGCCTAGATTGAGTTTGTGTTTGTCATATTTCAAGAAGAAAGTAATCATGTTTCACTCGATGTAAATGTACAAGTACTTGTTAAAGTACTGATGCATCTTTCCTTCCATTATTAAGCATTAGCACCGTAAAATATCACCCTCTGTCACGACGGCCACACGACGACGCCTGCAGCGACCTCGCACCACCACCATCAACAGCGCGAAGGGATGCCATGGTCCATTGAGGGCCCGCATGACAGTGTCTGATTTAGTGGGCCTGTCGGGCTCGGGCAACCACCAACGACTCATGCATGCACAACACCGTTGCAAGGATGTATTTGGTACATTAAAAAAAGGATGTGTGTTTTTTTTTTACAAAAAGGATCGGAGTTATTATAAAAGTTCATGGGAAGTACAAAGCATCTCAAACACTGTAAAAATTCGATCAAGATTCCAAGACCATCGATGTGACTGCACAGCTCAAACATTGGATACAAAATGTAGGGACGGGATGGAACCCGAACGCCGCACACTTTGAATTTTGGCAAAATCACCTCATGTAAGTACAGAAATAGCCATAACGTTTCTCTAACATGTGCTGCCCCAAGCTTCAACGAACACGAACAGATAAGGCTATGGAGCTCCGGCGGCGGACGTCGCCATGCGCTACGCTGCGGCCTCATTGTGAACATGGGGAGGTAGGATGGAGGCATGAGTTAGTCAGACCGAGAAACACGTCCAACAACTTTGGAGTATAAGCTTTCCATTCTAAGATGGTTAGCTGCCTATCACAAATAGGGAGGCCCAGTTAGATGATAGGGAATGCGGCTTACAATTGAGAACAGTGGCCATGTACTCACCCTCATCCATTGACATCCCCATGGCAACCATCTCGCATTTGTGAAAGTTTATCTTGAGACTTAATATCGCCTCGAAGCAAAGCAACATCAGCTTAATTGGGCCGATGTTGTGTTGGTTCGGTTCAAATAGCAACACCATACCGTCCACATAGTGCAACTTCGATACCCCAGGTATAAGATGGGCCACAACACCCTTTATGCGACCCACCGCCTTAGCTTTGTCAAGCATGGTCGAAAGAGTGCCAGCGGCGAAGTTAAAGAGGAGCGGGGACAGCGGGTCACCTTGCCGAAACCCTATTTTGTTTTGGAAGAAGTGACCAACATCGTCGTTAATCGAAATGATTGTCTGCCCTGAGACCAGCTGCAAAACACGATGAACCCAACCAGCCTCGAACGTCTTTCTTTTTTTCTGGAGAAACTTCCAATCTACTCCCTCCGTTCCATATAGTCTTTTTAGACATTTTAAATGGACTACAACATACGGATGTATATAAACATATTTTAGAGTATAGATTCACTCATTTTGCTCCGCATGTAGTCACTTGTTGAAATCTCTAGTAAGACTTATATTTGAAAATGGAGGAGCACTATTCATCATCTATCATGGGTTCACGGCAGTACATTTCAAAGAAAATCGATCGTAGGAGCAAAACAGTCCGCAAAGAAAATCCTCTCTACAGTTGCTGCTCCACTCCGCGTCCCTCTCTATCGTAATCTCAACGTCCACCTCCACCTCGCAGACACAGTTTCTTTCTGTCATCATACTCGTACGCCACATACAGAGCAGCTCCTCTGTAGAAAAACAGGAACAGAGTGGTCCTCCACGGTTCCGCTCCGCTCCCTCCGGCGGCACCACAACAAACCAATGGGCGCCGTCTCCGCGACGGCGGACGTCGTGGTGGCGCTCTTCTCGCTGATCATGGCGGTGGCGGCCCCGCTGTTCGACTCCCAGATCGTGCTCCCGCGCGGCCTCCACCCGGCGCCGCTCGTGGACATCCACCGCTGGTTCACCGTCGCGTTCGGCCACTACCTCGTCGCCGACCCGCCGCCTTTCTTCCTCGGCCTCGTCTGGCTCGACCTCGCCTTCCTGTGGCCCGTCTGCGTCGCCAACCTCTACGGCATCCTCGCGCGCCGCCGCTGGTCGGCGGCCACCTCGCTCATGGCGGGCGTCTACATGCTCACCTACTTGGTACGTGCCCGTCTTCGCCCTGCGTTTGCCCCTTTCTTCTTGCTTGCTTCAAGATCCATTCGAGTGATCAAGTGATAGCTAGTTTCTTTCGTCGTTGACCAAGCGTGAAACATTTGATAATATTATCTTAGATTGCTGCGCTGTCCTGCTGGTGGAAATTTGTGGAGGAAGTTTTTTTTTTAGTGAACTTGAGGATAGAGATTTGATAATTCAAAATTTCAAAAAATAAAAAATTCCTCGAGGAAATTTCTTCACCAATTATATTTTTTCGTTTGGTTCTGTCAACACTCGACAGGTAGTTAATCTCCAGTCGCCGGCCTATCACTCCTGTGGTACTTAACCTTTATCCTCTTCTCCGTTTTCATGGTTTTTTTTTTGCTCGCTTCGTTTCTAACGGTGATTGCAATTGTTTCAGTCCGCGATACTCAGCGACATGTTGGGCTCAGGGAAAACAACGCCGAGGCTGCTCATGCTCAGCGCCGTTAACTGCTGCAACATCGGCTGCATCTTCAGCTCAGAAGAAGAAAGCCTAGATTGAATTTGTGTTCGTCATATTATTATTTTTGACCCGCATGTTTCAAGAAGAAAATAGTCAAGTTCCACTCGATGTAAACGTATAAGTACTTGTTCAATGACCGATGTATCTTTTCTTCCATTATTAAGCATTAGCAGGACAAAGTGTCTCCTGAGGAGAATGCTAGATTAGAGGCCAAGTTCTCAGAAGAGGAGATTAAAAATGCTGTGTTTGGGTCATACTCAGATGGGGCCCCTGGTCCTGATGGGATACCCTTTATGTTCTATCAAAGCTCTTGGGAATTGGTTAAATATGATCTTATTGAGATGTTTAATGCTTGGTTTAATGGTAGACTGGACCTTTTTAGACTTAATTTTGCCATGATTACATTGATTTCTAAAGAGAATGAGGCTAAGACTATGAACAAATTTAGACCTATTAGTCTCCTTAATTGTGTGTGCAAGATTTTTACTAAGGTTCTTACTAATAGGCTTGCTGGGTTGATTGGTAGGTTGATTTCTGACTTCCAATCTGCCTTTGTGAGGGGGAGATATATTTTAGAGAGTGTGGTGTCTGCCCATGAAGTAGTGCATGCAGTGCATTCCACTGGTAGACAGGGTTTAGTGTTTAAAATAGACTATGAAAAGGCCTATGATAAAGTTAACCTGAATTTCCTTTATGAGATGTTGGCTCTGAGAGGATTTGGGTCTAAGTGGATTGGTTGGATTAAGAGTATTACTCAAGGAGGCTCTGTTGGAGTCAAATTAAATGGGGAGGAAAGTGACTTCTTCCTCACTGGTAAAGGTTTGAGGCAGGGGGACCCTGTAGCTCTTTTACTTTTTAACTTGGTGGTAGATGTGTTCTCTAGGATGTTAATCAAAGGATCCCACTCAGGCTTGATTA